ACATTAGTGTTGTGGCTCTTTGGATGATGCCTCAGTGGTTCGCCCCAAGCTCTGAGCCAAGGTGCAAGGGCCGCAGGAACCTGAGATAAACACCCCCAATGACCCCCCAAAAAGCTGTAAACCCTCTACTAAGCCAGTTTCTAGGCTGCGGTTTCACTAGTGATTTACCACTCCTTTGGTTTGATATTTGGGGCACATGTCCCATGTGCGATATTTTTTGATAAGCCGCGCTCTTACATCCATGGGCATCCTCAGCTTTTGTTGCTGTGTACCCATTTTGTTGGTCTTCTGGATCGAACTCCCCAAACAAAAAGAACATCAAATGCCATAAGATGCCGTAAGTCGAAGCTCCAGCTATGACAACTCCTAAGCCGCACTGAGGAAGTATCAGTTTACGGAGCTGCCTGAACTCTTGAATGCCATAGGCAGGGAGTGCAGCAGCCCTGTCAAATGGGCAATTTCCACTTTGTACAGTCCCATGTTGGTTACATGGAGGTGCTTCCACAACGTATCTTCTTTTCTCCCATTCGGCAGTTCTCAATATAGCGGTTATCAATATTATCAATACTCAGCTGTTGGCGTGAAGCTGAGTCAAAAGTTAAAACTGAAAAGCCACAGACTCAAGCCAACCACCAAATACAATAAACATCAAATCAAGTGTATGATGTTACTTATTGTTACTTGCCACCCTCCATGAAGATTAGCAAACACACACTGATTTACCCTTGAGTCTACCACATGATCAATCATCCAAGTTCTTCCCAGAATTCAAAATCCAGGTTTCTGTGGTTGAATCCTCGCACTGTTTTAATTTTGTTCGATTTAGAATTTCTTGAATTTCAGTTTTTCCTTTTCACTTTGTTAAATTCTCCCTATTTTTGGTTTCTGACTTTCCATTTCTGCCCAGCTCCAGGCAGTGTTCAGGTGCTGCCACCGAAGCTGGGCCATTCTGCCAGCTCACCACTGGATGATCCGCCGAAGAAGCGGCCAGAGACGCCTGCGTTGGCAAAGACCAAAGGACGGACGATGGGGTTTGGGGTTCAACGTGGGAAGGCTACATAGTGAAGAAAGATGCATCATTATTTCCATAGGTGCTGTAAAGACTATAATGACTATTTATATTGACTATATGAATCTATATAAGAATAATGATTAGATGATGGTTTGTTGAATGCTTACTACTAGTAGTATCTAATAGTATTGCTTTTCGTTTTTTTTTGTTTTTGTGTGTGTGTGTGATCAGTATTAATACAATTATTGATTAGTATTGGGGACCATTGCTTATTACATAGTTTCTTTTCATCATCATGGTTACTGCAATTGTGTGTTTATAGGGTGTATAATAAATATATATATATATAGATGTTCAGAGTATAGAGGTGAAAAGCATGATGGTCCCTTAAATGGTAAAACTTTGTTATATATTGTTGATGTATTGATGTCGTGTTGACACATGGCTCTTCATTTTCCATTGAACCACACACATCTCATTTTGGGCTGGTTAACTGGGCAGCCTTGATTTTCAACTATTTGTTTGCGGCATTTTTTTCTGACAAACAACATGTGTGTGATGTTCCAGTCTCTCATGTCTTGCTGGGAAAAAACACTGATTCCCTTTATATAAAATTTACGTATTTCAATCAGGAAGCACCAATCAACCATTATATCCTCATTACGGTTATTATGGTTGGTTGTACTGCTGCTGCTTCCTTCTGTTGCTGCTGCTGCTGCTGCTTCTGCCTTCTGCTGCTGCTACTGCTTCCTCCTGCTGCTGCTGCTTCCTGCTGCTGCTGCTGCTGCCGCCTGTTGCTACTGCTTCCTCCTGCTGCGGCTGCTTCCTCCTGCTGCTGCTGCTGCTGCTTCCACCTGCTGCTTCCGCCTGCTGCTGCATCTCGCAAGACGGCGCAGACGGCAAGACGGCGCAAGACGGAACAGACACAACAGACGGCGCAGACGGAGCACCGACAAAACCTGCCACGCTTTCCGCCCGCAATGGAATGAAGTTTTTTTCCAATTCGTAATTCCTGGGTGGATATGACAACAAACTTCTTGAGAGCTGTCCACGACATTGATGCACATCGCGCCAGCCATAGATTTATGATTTGGTTGCGGAAAACAAGGGGCCCCCATATCCTTATATCATCCTAGATCATAGCCCTGCCAATAGGATTTGCTACAGCTAGCTAACCCACTTGCATTGCAAGAAATTTGAGGTTGTACCAATAGGGGTTTGATTTGGTCACGCGACGCAGGACATCAATATAATATATTCAAATCCAATAGGATTAGCTGCCGAGAATTTGTTTGTATTAACTTGTGCCCTTCAAAATCATCGCTGTGCGCAATGCTTCGGCTACTTTTAACTACATCTCCAAGTATGGATGAAACAGGCTGTGCCATGGTGATTCTTCTTCCCTGATGTGACTTTCCACTACCTGATGTGACTTTTCTGTATCGCCGCCGTGCCATGGGGATGATGTGACTTTTCCCGCCTGATGTGACTTAAGTACGGTGCTAGTAGATCCCAGTTCTTTACATTTTCTTATGATCACTTGCACCCCGTCGGCCCGTTGGCCCACTTGCTCCTTCATATTCGGTTTAACTACACGCTTTTTGTAGTGTGGCCAAAAATCGTTTCCAGATAGCCTGTTTTCGCGAAGGCACACCGTAGACCTGAGGTATGTTCCATGATTTTCATTGATTTTCCCCAACCCATAGGATCCATGTATGGTATATATACTAACATTGGGGGTATATTGATGGTAAATGTTACCATATATAGCAGCACCATGGATCCTATGGGCAAAGAAAGGCCATTTTGGGTTAGGTTTTCCTGGGTTTCCTTTTCAAATCCCGGAGATGTTCCAACTCCAACCAGCGCATGGCAGGCATCACCGGTCGCTTAGCTCGTTCCGAGAACAACTTGACGCGCCTAGCCTCCACCCTGGCGGGACGTTCGCACGGTTTGCGAAGCGGCCAAGAGTGGCTTGGATGGGAGCCAGTTGTCACAAATGCGGACGTAAACATCTAAAATGGCAACATCTGGTATACAGTATTGATTACATTTCCAAGGTTTAAGATGTTAAAATACCATTTTTAACCCCAAACATGTGGCTTTGAAAGTTTGACATTATAGAATGCCAGCTAGAATGTCCAATTGGAATGTCCAGATATATTTCAGAATGTTTGTCAGAATTTATATGTCAGATATGATGCTAAATAAATGCCTTTAGAGTGCCCGATAGAATGCCAGACAAAATGTGAGATAGAATGTCAGAATGTATATTGGAATGTTATTATGCCTAGTGAAATGCCTGAATATGTCAGATAGAATGTCAGAATATGTTTCAGATAGACTGCCATGATAGATGCCCCAGATACTGGTAGAATATGCCAGAATAATATATGTCATGAAATATTCCAGACAAGAATGTTAGAAAGAATGTCAGTTGGCAGGTCTTGCTCGAAGAAAGTGATTTGATTGCTTGTGCCAGTGGTAGTAACTGATAGTTGCAAGTCGCATTTTCCAGTCCAAATTTCCAAATTGATGATTTTCTTCAACCACGGGCTGGAATAGGGCCTTTTCAGGCGTGCGGGCGAATGGTTGGTAAATTGTACTGGCATGCAAAGTCAGTCGCGTAAAAAACATAAGAAACCATGTCTGAGAGTCTTCAACTTGGTTCAGAAAACAATGAAAGGCACAAAAACAACCAAAAAAGCAGATATACAAATCATGTCTTAAGAGTACGTATGTATTTATTGTTTCCTGCTTAATTTTAACTCGTGCAGGTAATTAACGCTAGCTCTAAATGTTTCTATAGTGGAATCATCGCAAAGCATTCAGACAGGGCAAACTGCTAGCCAAACTGGGGACTAGTATTCTTGGGAACACGATCTTCACTTTACATCAGTCAATGAACGCAAGTATTCAAAGGTGTTCCTTCGATTTGAATTTGCACGTTTACTTCCCCCAAATAAGCCATAATAAATCAACTTGCAGGGCAACTACAACCACAGCCAGAATTGCGCAAAGTGTTTTTGCAATGCAATCTGCTTATGCATGTTTACACAATACCTGCATCCCCAGCTTTGCAGGGATGTAGCTGCGCTCGAAACCAAAGGTGAACAGCGAACAAAAGGGGTAGAGGTTCACATGTCGGCATCTGGACTGTTGACCTGGGTGCCAGTTTTTACAGACATTTTGGATCATTTTGGTCCTTAGATCCTCTCAATATCTATTCGAATAGATTTATATAATTAGATCTATTAAGTTTCTAGGATAGATGTTTGGCCTATTTATTAAACAGACATTTTGGCCTTTAGATCCAGTTTCTTCCCGTTTTTTCCCTATCGGATCCAGTTTCAACCCAGGTCAACCGCAGCTGATCTGGGAAAAGGCCCGAAGAGGTGCGGCCCGTTGGGTTCTACAGAATCAATGAGAAATATGAGTATATTATAGACATTTATTAACACATTATACAATAGCATAATATTATTAATATACCAAAAAAATGGATATGTCACTATGAAATTAATAAACATCATAATTAATCACACATATATATATATAAATCAATGTGAGTCTATACAATGCCATATGCAAACTGTGTGTGAATATAATTGAATACATCCTACAATCGATATGTTTAAGTATACATTCTTAAATTCTTAAATGTTTGCCATTCTCTACTTAAGCTTGGGTTCGGCTGGAAATAGATGGAGAATGGATGGCATACCTTTGTCAGAAGCATACGGTCAACCAATTGTGGGGCACTTAAACTCCGCAACTTGGCGAACCGGAGTCCTTCTGGCTGTGTCCGTAGGTGTTCAATAAATGGTGTTGCCTTCCATTTGTTGGGATGATAAATCCAATCAACAAATATCAACCTATGTCAATTTGAAAGCGGGGTTTGCCCATGATTTTGCTGCCAGGGGAGCAGGCGCTGCCAGCATTGGCGAAAGCCTTGCGGAGCGAGCGTATCGCAGTGAGGGCTACGCAGATGAACCCTAAGCTGCTCAGAATCAGTGCAACTTGGCGGAGTGAGTGTGTCCACTTAGGGGGTGTATCCCACTTAGTAAATGTGTCAAAAAGACATTTATATATAGCAATTATCTAGAATTATAATATATCCCATATATTCCCTAATATATTTGGGATTAAATGAGTTATATATATATATATACTATACATGGATTAACTATAAACCACTTACTAAGTGAGATGAACATCCAAGCAGTTGGACCATGATGGGGTCATTGAACACCGCAAACTTATGGCAGATGAGAAAAAATATTTGATTTGGAAAATAGTTTGGTCATAGCCCCTTAAGGCCATAAAATGTTTTTGGAAATGAAATTCAACATGTTGCCTGGGGATAGCCTTTTTGTTGGAAAACTTGTCTGCTGGTTTGAACTAACTGATGGAAGGTAGCAAGGTGGGTCAGAAATTGCAGTGGATTATCTAGGATCAGCCATGAAAAGCACCTGGTCAGTCTTGCGGGGTACAGTAGATCAGGCTCCAATGGGTTTCCAAAACATCACATGTTGTGGATGCTAAGAACACGTTTTTTTGGCTCTCCATGACCAACTGTTGGCCACTTGGCGATTCATCATCCCATCATCCCATGGGTTGCCTGGGTTGCCTGGGTTGCCTCGTGCTTCAGGAGCCACAGATCCGAAAGATCATGCCCACCTTGGTGTCGATCTGTGGTGGTGCAGAGCAAGCCGCCTATGCGGTGGTCTGGCGACCCGAACTCTTGGAGCTGGAGGCTGCATCGTCTCTAAGAGAATCCCTGCAGGCCGCGGGGAGAGGGTGCCATGGATGTGGGGAAAAAAATGATATAACAGAACTTGTCCAGCTGTGGGTGGATTTTCTCTTGAGAGGTCGGGTCATTTTTGGTGGGGGTTGTTTTGATTTTTGATGGATGCGTGTCAGATCTCACATGGCATGATCTCAAAAAAAAACAAAACACGGTTTTGGGGGGGCATCTAAGCTTAGCTAAGCTTAGCTATGATGAATGGGGTGCGCGAGCTTGACCATGATGGGGTGGAGCTTGGAATTCTGGAAGCTTTTGAGGAGCTTTGCAACAAAACTAAAGACTCAGCTTTTTGACTGTCTAGAGTCTAAACATGTCTAAACTATCGGACATGAACATTCGCCGGTTGTTCCATCGACAAGTTTGCAGGCGGCCTCCAGCTTCTTTGGCAACCTAAAGGATGCCGCTTGGAGGCCAATTCAAGGCTTAACTTATTGATTGCACCTGTCAACAGTTCAATAGGCACTGGCAGACATGAGAAGAATGCACGGAACTATAACAGGTATACCCTGTGCCTGCACTGCACCTCAAGCTTATCAAGAGCGATATGATTCAACTTCAACATAATTTAACTGAATATAACATAATATAACTGAATCCAACTTTGATAGTTTCGGTAATTTCGGTGGCTCCAAATCTTCTTGATGTTCAAAAAACCCCATGACACGACAAAGACACTCATGGAGAGTTGGTCGAGTTGGTCGTCATAGCTGCTATAATAAAAGGATGGCCCACCCAGTTGGAAAGATGTGTAAACTGTAACACCCCATAAACTATATCAATATATTATCAATATCAGTTAGCGTTTGAATCGGAGGAGTATGTGAGTTGGCCTGCAGTTCTTTTGTTTAAAAAAAACACATAATATCATATATCCTCCATTATCTCTATTATAGTTAGCCAAGTCCAAGCTATTAGTCAATTTAGTTATCTAGGAAGCCCTAGCTTGTAGCTATCTATAAGCTTATGTTACTTATGTTTCTGTTGACACATTTAAGTTGCAGCTTTGGCTATGCATCCCAGGCCCTGTTTCTTCTGGGCCAAACTACTGCACCACCGTCAGTGAAAGTCATCGCACGACAGTTCTGCCGGGAATATGTGGTGGGTGAGTGCCTGTACTCAATTTGGAAAGATCTTCTTGCTTGTGGAACATAGTGGAGCTAGGTACACAGATTTGAACATATTCTTGGAAATAGTGAAACTAGACTAGTTACATTAGAATATGTGAAAGCTATTTTTCTCAGCCCACATGTGCTGGTATATGTTTGGGCTTTGTTTGGTTTCATTTTGTTTTGCTGTCAGGGCTCAGGCTGCAGCAACCAGGACTTGGAAAACATACAACAACCTTTCCTGGTAAGGGTCCCTGCAGACTCCATGTTGGGGCCCCTGCTATGCCATGATTGTATGTTGTTGCTGCGTGGGCCCCCAAGTTTGTCCGACTGGACTTCGAACCAACCACAAATCCAAGATGATCCACGTGATTCCAAGTGAATCCAGTTTGCCGTGTGAACTGCTAGCCTCACTTAGACATCCCATGGTCTCCGTGCCGCACATGCGCATCTTAGGTACTTCCTGATGGACGGTGCATCGGTGGACGATCGGCCCGTGTGGTGTAAGCCGGCGGTGCAGATGAAGAGCTTAGGATCCCGCGCACGGGATGTTTATCTGATCTACTGCTGCTTGACAAGGGAAAAATGGACCTTGAAACAGGGCTGAATCATCAACTTAATATTGGGGTGGGTAGCTGGGCCGATGCACCTCCCCAAATAATATACATGTTGCCTAGGCCTAGGAATGCTTGGCATGAGATTCTCAGGTCGCCAATCTTTGCTCTTCAAGGATTCCATGGCTGTCAATAGCCACTGGGGTTGACCTGTGATGTTGACCCGAGCAAAATGTGTGTTCATTCCGGAAATATAAGGAACCTATTTCTTTCATTAGTTTGTTTATTACAGGGTTTTCAGTACCCATATGCTGCATGTATGGTATAAAGTGGTGGTAAATGGTGGTAATGTTGCGTTGCTTGTTCCAACCCTCGAAGCGCGTCGTTGGGAGAGCCAAGTGGCCATCCTCCAAAATTGCTGTGCAGCTCTGTTTTACCACATGTAATGGCGTTGTATCAACCCGACTTACAAACCGGAGACGCGCATCCATTTGCCAGCTATTTGGATGTTCACCAAGGATACATGGTTCTGACTTATATTTCTGTGCTTCACGACTCACTGCGTGGCGTTCCTACGCTTTCCTGAGGTCAGAAAGGGGTGGTTGGACTGGATACAATGCATCCATGCTGGACTTTCACCACCAACTACAGTCCATCGCTGAAGAAGTGTCCTGGTGGAACAAGCCCCAGTTTCAAGGGGACTTCCCGAGCCCCCCAGAAAATTGAACATCAGAGAAAACTCAAAAAAAGTTGGGAAACCAATTGGATAGGTTGTGCTTTTTTGGAGAACCTCATTGAAATTCGCAATGGAACCGGAAATTCTGAGACACGCCGACATGCCCAATCATTGTGAGAAGGTCCATCAATCATGATCAATCTAGTTGCAAAATCAGTTTTTTCCCCGCCTGCCAGGTGAGGGTCTCTAGATTTTAACAGAAGTGCAACTCACTCCTCCACTGCCTCATTGCGTTCGATGATTTTCCCAGCTATCCTCCATGGCTCCAGGGACCCATATAAAATCGCGTCTAATTTTACCATTTCAACACCACCATTTATAGATGATTTATAGATGATTTTCATTGATTTTCACCTCAAACAACTTCCAAGTTTCATATGTTTCATGTTTTTTCTCCCATCAAAACCTCCAAATTCTTCATGGGATCCATGGAAAAAATGGGGGAAATCACCGCCATGGCCATGGCCATGGCCATGGGGCCATGCCGAGGTACGACTACTGCGACCCCCAAATCCTGGGCTGGGCAGAAACCTCGGTGAAGTCCCCGGACCAGGTGCTGCCGGGCGACTGGCACTTCCCAGCCGAGGCGCCACGAAAAACGTGGGGATTTCGCCAAGGAAAATCCATGGGATGCAAGGAGGGATCACATCTTCATGGAAAGTTGGGATGTAACTTGAGAATGCCCAAAAAATAATCATGGCGATACACATTGAATGTCTTAAAATCTGACATGTGTATTGTTTGCATATCCGAATTCAACATTTTTAGACACATTTAATCATGATTGAATCAGATGGCGATACGTTTGAAGCAAACATGTTGACACATTGAACGTATTGAGTGGATCTTGTATACTAAGCATGTGTTTAACAACAATGTGTTTGACACTTTTGTTGTTTGAATATTTATGAATATTTATAGATGGTGAAACTTCGATAGCTGGAGTGCGTGGTGTATTTCTATGGGACAATTATGGAACACGTTACAAAGATCTAACCACCATATGATGACCTCACGGTGAATTAGTAGAGTGATGTAGAGGGAACCATCCCCAAATTGGTGTAATTACATTATTTCTAAAATTTTCTAAATTGGGAACTATACTATACTTACGTATATGCCTGAAATGGATAGATATCGTGGATGCATGTTGTTCCAAGATGCTCTTTGGATCAGGGTGAAACCAAAGTGGTTTGGACCGCAACCTTTGTTGGTTTGATGTGGTTTTATTTGTTTCTTTCTCCTACCTGGATTAATTACTGTAGATGTTCATCAAGTTGTTTAGTTCCAACAAATTATATAATGGATCTTGTCAAGGCCGATTTGAAGGCTGTTTCAAGGTAGCCTGGTCTAACATCGAATTGATTCATCTTGGGGATTTACTATGGGGTCATTTTATACTATATTAGTATTGACTGCTACATATCTCAATGTTCAGAACGAAGAGACCATGTTAATCCTCTCATTTTGATGTTCAGCCCCCTAGTTTTCATGGTTAAAGCCACATGTATGATGGTTAAGACCCCAATTTGTCATCATAAAACCACCCCTTTTTGATGGGACACCACCGGCAGGCTCACAAGACGCAGGTGCCGGGCTTGTGGCCGGCAGATCCATACGTCCGAAGCAGCTGGGCCTGAAGCAGGTCATGAGGTTTCCTAAAGGGGTGAAGATGGTGAATACATGTGAATACTGTAGAAATAGCCTAAACCAATCAGAATGATTAGAATAGTCCATTTATCAGAAACCCATCAGTAGTCCCCTTTTTGATGACGGACTTATGATGGGGAGAACTTAATAAGGTGATAAACCCATGGCAAGTCGCTGGGGAGGGTTTACCATGGGGGTATCCTAAACCACAGGGGAACTGCATGGATTTCCTAAATAAATCTATATAATGGAGGTGTCCTAAATAAGGGGACCCATAGATTATCCATTAGTATGGTGTGGTATTCCCATAGCAACTACTTAATCAGTTGCATCCCACTTGCCCACAGTATTCACCATTGGATAAGGCCACATGATCAACATATATTTAGTATCCCACCAGCCAAGATCTTAAATTAGCAACCTTGGCTTCTTGGATTTAATGAGGGGTTGTCCATATTGATATGGCGTTTGATTCAAAAAGATCCAGGGCCCAAATCCATCAGTAGAAATTGGGGTGCTCGAGATCATCCAACTATGTTGTTGTTTTAGCATTGAACCCTGACAGAACCAGCATGGAGCATGGGGCACCCCCGATTTTGGGAAGTACCAAAAACAGCAGTGATGGAAGATTGGACCTTGCTTGAAGCAAGACAAATGGTTGAAGGCTTCATTTGAGATTCATTGAGTGGTTTCATTACCCATAGGATCCATGGTGCTGCTATATATAGTAACATGGATCCCATCGATATACCCCAGTCATGTTAGCATATTTATCAGCACCATGGATCCTATGGGTTATACCGCCGGTTGATGACCTTGGATGTATCAATGGATCACATGACAAGTCATGGTTTTTCAATGTTTAGTAGCGAGCGTGCGGTGCGGACGAATCCCATAGCTGAGGCACTTTGCAAGCCACCATAAACTTGACTCATGCATGGATGTTCTGGGCATGTCATAGTAGTGCATATTCAACTTACATCAGATGAAATCCTCCATGTTTCTGGCATCCCAACTGGTTAGCAATGGAAAAATCCCATTTTGACTCGTGAAATCCTATTTTTGTCACTTTGAAATCATCTAAATCCCCATATTTCAATGTTTAAAACCCAATGGGTGTGGGTCAAGTCATTGGGTATCGCTGCATTTTTATAGACTACTAATGTGCACAAAAAATACCACAGATCTGAGGTCCCCCTGAGCCTTAAACTTCACCGATACCCACATGTTGGTCGTGGAATCCGGCCGCGCCAATTTAGGCGAAGACGGGGGGCAACAGCGACCCGTGTGGCTGTGCACCCACCCTCCGCGACAGCTGCGGGATACCTTTGATATGTTGAGATGCTGGGCAAAGCATTGGCAACCCAGAAATCATGGCATTTCCATCATTTTCCAATCAGAAAATACATGAAAATACCATGCCCCCCAACTAAACTAGACCTTGAGAATCGCTACTCTTTGGAATGTAATTTTCCAACCCTGAAGTTGGCAGGGTCTATGTTAGTTGGAGGGATGATGGTTTGGTCCAAAAGATGACCCTGAATTTCAGGATTTGCCACGGGCCTGGTTTGGCTGACCCGCGAGAGCGAAAATGTCGAGTTGTTGGGACATGTGGTGAAAAACGACCCTGTGTACTCAGGTGGGCCTGTCCAAGGGGAGGGGACCGTGTCAGGAAGTCACTGGAAGGATATGGGACAAACAAACATGATATGTTTTATTTCAACCAGCAAGACTATATGTGTTGGAGTCATATGAGTCATATGAGCATATGCATACACACCTGAATACACACATATATGTGTCCGTGTGCGTTTTTTTTTGTGTGGCGAAGCTATCGGAATAGTAGCAATTTGTCAATACCATTTCCTTTCCCCATGATAGGGAGTTTAGCATGGTTGGGAGACTTTCCAACTACAGTGACTGCTTGAAGTAGTGTTTTTTCTAAGGGGTTCAACCAGTTTCTGTCAGCAGTGTGTGCTGATTATTCCTCATTTCTTGTGCTTTGCTACCCCGTGGTCGGGTGACGGTTTATGCATGCTATCCTGATATTTCATGATCATGACTCATGACGCAGGATACGTTGAAGTACACCAAGATGCCCCGAAATATCCCAACAGATGTCGTACAACTGAAATCAACTGAACATATCCGCGAATCATACACCTTCCCCCGGGTCTTAACGATTGGTCGATGGAAAAAAATCTTCATGTCATCACTCTCTTTTAGGGGCCAAGCGTTGGCCTACATATATCGGAGAAGTTCATACTGGAAACCAACGTTTTTACCGATTTTTACCTGACAATTTACAGTATCGGCTTTCCCTTGAGAATTCTTTACATTCGTTGCAGTTGTCCTTATGTCCATATCTTGCTGATCTCCCCGTCTTAAGGGCAGGATTTGGCCCAATTCCCCAGGATAATAACTGAATATGTCCTTTGATTGTCATTACCATTTGGTTATTTAACATAGCCATGGAAAATAACCATTTTTAATAGGTAAACCATCTATTTCTATGGGCCATTTTCCATGGCTATGTTAAATAACCAGAGGGTATCATAGATTGTGTTCATGATCAATCATGACGCCAAAATTGATATTCCTTTTGTTGTTCTTGATGGCTAGTTCCTCTTCTACATCAAGTGGCATCAGTTGATCAACAACAACTGTGATTTTGGCTTACTCCATGATGTCAATGAGAAAATGAAAGCTTCCTTTGAACATTCATTGTGGAATGAACATGAACTACTGTAACAGGCAGTTAATTTGTGTTTGTCAATGTTCCCACCAATCTATTGATTAGGTCCTTCAAAAAAAACTCATGTCTTCCCATATTTATGGGCCCTATGCAGATTCCTCACAAATCTCACAAAAAATGCTAGGTTCCTTGAAACATTCTTTGTGAGTTTTCACATGAATATCAATTAGATCAATTAATGTGTGTTCATGATTAAAAATGCCCTTCACTATTGTCACTATATCAATATTGTATAATGTGAGTAGAACAATAATAAACCATCCCCCAGTCATCACCATTTTTATAGGTGGTGTATACCATTCCCAAATGGCTAGTTGATGGCATTGTTTTACCCACATTACTCTTGTTCGATCCAAACAACTGCCAGGTTCCTCCAAGATCAGTTTCTTGGACTGCGCAGACTTCGCGCACATCCGCCGCTGGAGCTACTTGCGCTTGCCGCACACCACAGCGAGCGGCACAGTGGTGAAGTTGCGAGCGCCTTGGGCCGCTGTGGTCCCCAAAAAGGCTTAGTGTTCATGTCATGCTCATGTTGTATATGTATATAATTATATATATATATATATAAGACACCATTATAATATTACATTAATAATTATATATATATATGTGTGTGTGTGTGATATGATATTTTCCCTTCTGTACCATCAATATATCCCATGTTATATTCATGGTATATCCACTATATCCCATGTTATCCCTGTGAAAGGGTTTGTTTTCATAAAATATTCATATGTGGGTCCCTAAAACTGAATAAGATGGACAAATTGCTCCAGGATTTCCGTAAATGATTCTTGCTTCATAAATTTAAGTTTCCAAACGCCTATCTACTGATATTTTTGTGTTGCCCCTGAAAATCAACCCAATGAGTAGATCGGGCCGACTCAGTTTTTTTTCGCCAGGATGCTGATTATTGGGGCAAGGGCGTAACAAACCATCCCAAGTTTGCCCTTTTGGGGTGGTTAAACATCATACAAAATCAATCAAACTCATATAAGATCAGCATTTAGGTTTAACCTCCAGTGAAGAGGCTCAACATATTTTTCGTGCCCATGGATCCTATGACGTGGGTGCTGCGTGGCAGTTTGAGGCTTGGGAACCCATCGAGATTTGCATGCTCTTTTGCATGGATGACACCAATCAGTTGGAAGCGGGCGAGGCGAGCCTAGCCGGCCTAGCCCTTGGGAACTGTGGAGCATCCAGGTGAAGATGGTGAAGTGGCGAGGATTTTTTGGGGGCGATCATATAATCTTTGGTTGAGAGAGGATGTCATCCAAGGCTTTCATCAAGCACGTTCGAAGGCCATATTTGCATGCTGCTTTCGAGAGAAACATTGAAATGTTTCTGGGATATATTCGTGGGAGATCCCAAACAATCCCAGACAGTGTTTTGAAGATCACACCTGTGTGGGTTCTTGAATGAATAAATCAACAAACAAACACACAACCAAACAAACAAATAACAGATATAAATATACATAAATAGATCAATAACATTAAATAACCAAATCGATAATTATACAAATACACAGATAAATAAGTACATGTAAATCAATGTATAGATAACACATACCTTTTTCAATTGACTATTGTTGTTGTTGTTGTTGTTGTTGTTGTTGTTGTTGTTGTTGTTGGATAGATCTCCACCAGCCCCCCTTTTCCTGCGCAGAATCAGGTGGAGCTGCTTCAGAAAGCCGACTTCCGTGCGATGCCCGAGGGCTCCATAGCCAAGAGCTTTCCCACGCTGCACGGGGCCACAGCACCGGTCTCCAAGGTGGTCTGGGCCAGGACCTTTGTGCCTTGGCGATGCATTGGGGGCCCTGATGGTCTAACGGTTTAACGCTTTTACAATGGATTAGATACTGTATCAATTGTATTCAATTGTAACGTGTATAATATATATATAGTTATATATATATGTGTATCTAAGTCATGTTGAGATTGGTAAACTACATATTTTATTATATATGAAAACAAATGAGTTCAGAATCGGTAAAAATATCATGAGTATAAATCTAGATCTAGTGGCACCGATGGGGAATCATCCCAGAACGGATGGATGGCTGGGAACGTTTGGGAACTGCCTTGTCCGACTGAGGGTTTTTGTAGGTAAATTTAGAACTTATAGAAACTCCCTTAAAAACACCGAAAAGTAATTCGAATAGCAATTTCTGTAGATTTCTACTTAAGTTGGGGGTTGCCAGAACTATTTTAAAGTGACAGTGGGACTTCGGAATTGACATGGATTTCCCCTTTCTATCTTACTGTAGGGTGATGGAATCAACATGAATTCACAAGGCAATGCCGGTGTGCCATGTCTTCGGGAGGGTTTTACCAAAATGCCCATTGGGTGGAGCAGATGGTTTGAAGTGTTTGAAGTACCTCTGGGCAATTTATAGCCACCTCACAATGTGCTCACCATGCATGAAGAAAGTTAGAAAATTTCAGGTTAGTGAATTCTGAGTACTGTACTTCAGTCAGCCAGATATTTCCAGATTCACTCCCAGGTTAGTTTGGACAATTCTTGATTTTTGACAGTCAGCCGTTACCTGGGAATGCATGGCATCACGGCCTGGGCTGGATCAATTCCAACAGGTTCCAGGACCGTGTTTTTGACTGTGCATGACACAGAAATCATTCTGAATAACTTCAAAGCAATTTGAAAAAAACAAACAAATTACCCTCAAAACAAAAAAAACACACCTCACAATATAGGTTTGAGGTTTGAAGGCATGCCCATTTGTCAAAGTTGCTTCCGATTTCAAACACCTTGTTTGAAGTTTCCTGATCGAGAATCCATCCCCAGGATTCCGAAGTTTCGTGTCCCAAATCACCGGCAGTCAAAAAATCTCCAGTCGGATGTGTTGGTTTTCTTCAACGAGAAGATGTTGCGGTGTTCCTCAAATGTCAATCTAAGGGTCTTAAAGAAAATCTCCGACTCCTAGAATTGGCTTCAACATGTTTCAACAATCTGCAGGTTTATCCCCAAGAAATGCTGAAAACCAATGGGTTTCTGAACGGGTTCCCACCAGATTTCTCCCTTCACCCAATGACTTGGACCATTTTTCACGCCGAGGCCAGTGGTATGTTGGAATTTCCGGTGCCTGTGGGGCCTCAAGGCTTGCCCATGATGTTCATCCGCGCGCACATCGCGGCGCACGTGCTGGGCACGAGGCCCCGTTGGGCCTATGGTTTGGAGGTTGAGTTCGCTGGGAAGATCAGCGAAGCAAGTCTAGAATTGGTGGGTTCCTAGAATTTGGTAATCCATTGGTTTTCCCATTGGTAAAAGACAATTTTGGATAATTGTGGGTTCCAGGAAAAATCAATGGTCCATTGCCATGTTTGGTCAGGAAGAGTTGTTTCTAATTTAAACCCTGAACAGGAGCATATCGACGGATACAGGAGGTGAACGGTTGAAGCGTAAACTTGTTTTATCACAACGGATATGCAGCCCCAATGCCCCAATTTTACCAATATTTTCTCAAGGAGAAAGGCGTCAATGATGGTCAGGTAAGGCACGAGAAAAGTTGTAATTATGTGTTTACTCTTCAGACCGGTAATATATACACGTTGTTTGCTTTGAACACGTGTTATGCTGTTGCATTGTCAAGGTGCAAGCACACATAATTTGCCATAATTTGCCCACTGGGGGGCGTTTCTGCCACCAACATGCACATTGGGTTGATGAAGGGAACTATTTTGGAGTAACCTGTGTTTTTTGTGGTTTTCTGTGCATTGAAATATAGGGGTTCCATGGGTTTCCTACGATTTTTCCACTGATAAAGCACCATTTGATGGAGTATTTAGGGTATGATTTCAGGAGATTTTGGAATTTTTGGATGAGGGTCAAGGAAAAATTCGGAACACTCAGCCGTCAAAGATGGAACATGATGGAACTGAGGCCTTGTCACGAGGTGCGTTTGCTGGCAGGTGAAGATATCTACCTCTCAGATACTGGGATGCAGACTGGAAGCTTCCGGGCATGGACCAGATGTGAATTTCAATGTGAATCCATGAAGATCTACTGATTTCATAGGATTTCACTAGGAAAATCATGGAACATCCTTTCCTTCAATTTGAGCCAACTTGGGGATCCAAATGGAGGTACTGTCGGTACTGTGTACTGTGCAATGTAAGGTTCATTTGTGTGGAATACTTAGTTAAATCATGTTGAATCATGTTGAATCATGTTGAATACTGAGATTCAGACCTTACGAAGCTTGACTTTAGGTGGCTAGCCCCAACTCCAGAAATGTCGAAAAGGAATCCTTTCGTGGGCTTCCGACATTTTCTGAGTGCCACCGATGGTGGCCGTGATTCACCATCGTAAGATTGGGAAATCCCACTATGTGGTGGCAAACCATATGCTAATCGTATCTAATCATCAATTTCTTTGCAATCTAATTATTAATTTCAGAATTATGGTAAACATGTGGTAGCCATGTGGTTCCGTGCTGGCTTTGTTCTAGAACTCCTGATGTTACAGGGCATTCCCTGGCCAAAACCATTTTTTTCGTAGAAACCTATCTCTCTGGGTCCCAGATTGTCAGATTGGTTAGAGAAGTTGCAAACCTAGAAATTAATGAAATTAGGTAACGATAGGATACGTAGGAATCATCAGATTTTTGGATGATTTGTATCCCTGACGGCTTGGTATACTGGGGGTTCCATTGTATCCTTGATGTGGTATACTGGGGATCTGATTCAAATCTGAATCAATTTTCCCTCTCCCGAATTAACATAAACATAAACCCTGAAGATTGATGAACATTGTATTTCTTTGCTGAAAACTAATCTTACTCAGGATAAATCCATGTAAATCCAGATGTTCCCTTCATTTGCCTGGACCTTTACCCACCCCCTATTTGCGACCACCAGGATCCTGACATCGCCAAAGACCCTATGGACGCCACGGCCCTTCCGCCTCCTGCCAGCGGCGGGCACTGGACTGGGGTTGAACAGCTGGAAAAGGGATGTTTCTTGGACCCCGGTACGAATACCTTCAGATTCAGAGAGGGTCTCTGGGACTCTGGGAAGATGTTTTTTTGTCAGGAGAATGCCGTTTCTACTGGAGTGTCCCTTTTCGGGGTTCCCGCCTTGATGAACCGGGGTTTATGGCATGGGGAATTTCACCAAGAAAAACAACAAATCAGTGGATAAACTGAGGTCATGTGAAGTCTGGAGTGGTACACCTGTGGGTTGTGCAATGGAAGGTTCCATTCCGTAAGACCCTTTCCAATCCTCATGACCCAGAGCTCAGCCGGACATTTATCTGGATCATTTGGATCGGCAAAGGTCCTATCCCCAGAAGACCTTTTGTTCAAAGTTCAGAAATCTTCCAAACATGACCAGCTCCAAGGAAGCCCAAACCAGTGATGTATCACTTCGTCTCCCCCGGCGAACTGGGCTACACGGGCTATAGCCTCTTCAAGGGTCCAGCAGCTTCCCAACACTGCGGGAGCTCACAAGTGCAGTAGCTCGGCTTGAGATTTTGCAAGGGATTTGCCATCAATGATTTCATTTGCAAAAGCGGGGAGTTCACTATATACAACTAATACTGATATGGAGTTAGCCAACAACAACAATGATGTGGCTATCAAAAAATGTGATTTAGGATTCAACAATTGTGATTCAACTGATTTAACGAGAAAGATGTCATTTGACCCATGCACAGTGTAGACACGCTCAGCAGAAACATGAAGATGGCCGGCACGTCATTTGATCAATACACATGGTCATGTTTTTGCCAACTCAAAAAGGGTAGTAGTGGTCAGTACTGGTGAATCATGGTGCATCACAATGGAGAGATGACGAATAGAAATTCGTGACGTGACGCACAGAGGTTGTGATGTTAGCCAACTAAAGTATACCTACATTTTTCCATCCAAGAATCACCTTCCAAACGTTGCAATCCCTTTTTGATGGATGTTCCCAGAAAGCAATCAGAGAATCAACGGAACCAGTTTGTGGTTTCAAGATGCTTCAAGTTTTTCCCGACTTTTCCACTGGGGTGGGGAAGGTCAGAGGTGATAGAAATTGGAAGCGGCCCAAGCACCACCTGCCTAATGCATGGTAATTCGGCTTCTTTTTTGGGGGGGGCAAAAATTGAGGGGCTGTAATCATCCAGCAAACATATGCATTTTTTGCACGGTAATTAGCGATGAATTGGAGAAGTTGTATGACAGGTCATACTTCTAGACTCCAAAATGTACTACAATGCACTATATATATATATACATACCCTACAGGAATCAAACATGCCAATGGAAAATCCACCATTTATTCATAGATGACTTTCCCATGAAATATCAACACCTCCAGTTATAGGGGATTTTCCCGTTTGCCATGTTTGATGACATGGGAGGGTAGTTATCCTTGTGATGACTCACACCCCCACAGTTCAATCCGCCACGTGAGTTTTAGCTCAGGATGCGTTTGGAGTCGATGGAAGTCTTGTCAGTCACTTGACTTTTTGTTTTTTTGGTACCCTCTGGTTATTTAACATAGCCATGGAAAATGGCCCATAGAAATAGATGGTTTACCTGGGTTTACCTGGGTTTACCTATTAGAAATGGTGATTTTCCATGGCTATGATAAATAACCAGATGGTATTTATTTTGGTGTTTGCGCTTAAGAAGTAAGTAATCCTGCGACACAACCAGAATTGATATTTGCAGGGCATCTACAGGAAAACCGTGATGTTCAATGGGAAAACTATAGTTTCCTGTAGCTTTTTCCTTAAAGTAATGCGTTGAAATAGGGGACGCTGTTATTTCGGGGCTGCTACATCATGATTGGTTCATTTGGTTTGATACTATATGCTGATATTAATTTCATCAATAGTGTAAAAACTCCTGCAGTAAAACCATGTATTGTATATATCATCGATCTGCCCGATAGCGTTGGTTCAAAAGTACCAGGAGCTGAGCGGTTTGTAGGTTCACCCCATTAGTGTTGTAATACCTAATTGGTGGCTGACCTGTGAATATACAGGTTATCAGCCGTAGTCTCACCACTTTGCTATGGGGACCCCAATTGACCATCCTCTCGCCGTTCCAGGGTCAGGTCCATCGGCTGTCGCTGTGCCTAATATGGCCGGGGGCAACCCCGAGCCGATGGATGACGAAACAATGTTCCAACCCGTTGTTGCGTACTTTACCTTCATACAAAACAACCTGTCCCAGATTACTAGTGGGAATACCCTGCAAGTCATGAGGGAAGCTGAACAGAGGCACCTTCAGATAATGCATGGAGTAGTTGACTCAATTCGAAACGAATGGTCAAGTAGACTCGTAATGCAGGAACAGGAGTATGAGCAAAGGCTGCAGGAGGTTGAAGGTAATGCCATTAGTGCCCTCAACGAGGAGAGGAAACGAGGCGACGAGATGGAGGTCAGGTTGAATCAGGCTCAGGCATCGCATGACAAAAGAATAGAGGATGTAAAGGCAGAGGCAAACACAAAGCATGATCAGAAAATTGCAGAGGAAAGAAAACGTATCACTAGTGAATTTGAAGCTTCCTATGCACAGACAGTTGAACATGCAAAGAATGCCATAGCTGCCACAAAGAAGCAATATGAAGACCAGGCTGCAATTGATCAGGCCAGGTTCATCAGTTTGAGGACTGAGTTTGAGAACTACAAGAAGGAGATGGCCGACAAGATCAACGAGGCAGCGGCTCAGAACCTTAGCCTTCAGGACCAAATCGATGATCTTCAGGAGCAGTTAAAGCATGTTGCCAAAGCGCAGCATGCCTCCGTTCCGAAAGCATCCGTCCAGAACGCCGAGCCGGCCGCTACCACTAGCGTGACCCACTTCAATATTGCCACTCCCAAAGCATCCGATGCACAGGCTGCCAAAGGCAGTGATGAGCCGATTCTTGAGTTTAAGACGCCTGCAGTGTTGGCGCAGGAAGCAAAGGCCAAGTTGGATGAGCTGCTCAAAGGTGGCAGTCCCAAGCAAAAGCCGGCTGTCGGCAACGACCAGCCCCAATTGCCAACGCAGTCAGGGTTTTTCACTCCCACTGAAGCTATCAAAACTCCCCCAAATGAATCTCCCAAGAGCGCAACCAAGCAACAGCAAGTAATGGGTCCCTCAGATCTTATTGAATTGGTGAAAGCCTTAACCCAAAGGGAAGAAAAGGATAAGCCAAAAACTAAGGAGGCTGAACTCATCAAGCTGAACAACATGCCCGCTCCGGAGTCATATAGAACTTGGAAGAATCACGTCAGGGATGAAGTGAAGAGCTGTTCAGATCGCCCGGATGAGGCGTGGCTCTGGCTCAACGAGGTGTACGATCAAGAGTGCACCAGAGAGCAGTTGGAGAAGAAACTCCAAGATCCTGGAAAGTTCCTTACGCTGGATACAAAGTTATCAGCAGCGCTCACGCGCTCAGCCGGAGGGGACCTCGCAACTAGGATCTTGAATTTCAAGGAGCAGCAATCCCGAAAAGGCATCCAGGTCAGGGGAAGATATGTTCTGCTTATGTTTGAGGACTACTTCAAGACATCAGAAGAAGCAGGTAGCCTTTACAGAGTAGAAGATCTTTTGGGTGTTGTCAAAGTAGGCGATACTGTCCAGGATCTCCGAAGATTCATCAACAAATGGGACGCTACCCTAGCTGGCATGGCTGTCACCCCTGATGATGCTGTGTTAAGGGACATCTTGTTGAGGCAGATCCGACCAAGTCAGTTGCTGAAATATGACATCGAGGTGTTTGACCGTGCTCATGAGAAATCCCATGAAAAGTCTTACAGTTTTCTTCACCAATCCATGAAGAACTTGATCGATCGTGAACGATTGAGGGAGAACAGGAACCGCATTGCGGAGAAGAACAAGGCTGGGATTAAGGACACAAAGGCCGCACCCGCCAAAGGCGATGGTCGCGGCGGCCGAAAGGGCTCTCCAAGTCGCGGTAGATCGCAGGAACGAGGTAGCAAAGGCGACAAGATTTGCTATAAGTTCCAAAAGGGTACCTGTGATAAGGGGAAGAAGTGTCCATTCAAGCATGTCAAAGATGATAAATCTCGAACTCAATCACCCAGAAGAACCAAAACACGTTCACCATCAAGGGGCAATAAGGATGATAAGGGGAAGAAGATGTCTAAAGAAGAAATGGCTAAAACCCCATGCATCTATCATGCCCAGGGAAAGTGCAGACGTGGTGACAAATGTTTTTATAAACATGACGACAAAGCCGCTGCCGCCACCAAAGACACCAAAAGGGCCAATTCACCCGCTCCCAAGAAGAAGGGCAAGGATTCCACAGCCGCTCCATGTCTGATCCAGAAGTTTGCATGCATCGTCCGAAAACAGCCGAAGGCAACTTCGTGCTCTGATGAGGCAAGTGTTAGCATGAAGCGTCTTAGATTCCGAAAGGCCCCACATGTGATCGAGGTGAAGGCAGTCGGTCGTCAAGTCCCAGTCAAGCACCGTCCAAGAGAGTTCACTAAGGTGTACAAGACAGCTGAAGATGTTCCAGTTTCATCAAAGGTTGAACAGCATGAAGCTCAGGTTCGTGCAAGACAGCTCCAAGAAACTGTGAAACTTCATGATTCAGATGTTGCACCAAGTTGTGGGTTTTGTTGTTGGGATGAGGACACACGCGACATCACATGCAAAGAGTGCAGGTTCATCAGCGGTCCCAAAGCCCTTAGAGACATTGGTCGTTTCCCGTCAATTGCCACAGCTGCGCCAAAGGCCGGCGTTAGTTGGCTTGTTGACTCAGGTAGTGAATCCGATCTTGTGTCCAAAGGAATGCTGAGGGACGTAAGTGCCAAGAACTGCCGTGCAGCCGAGCATCCGATTTCCTTAGTCACAGCCAATGGTTCGACCGAGGCAAATGAAGTTGCTGATGTCAAGTTGTCCGCATTGCCAGATCCCGTGCATCCGTATGTGCTTGATCATACCCCAGCTGTGCTCTCTGTAGGAACGAGATGCGTAGATCAGGGTTACAGTTTCGTATGGCCTGCCAATGGCAAACCAATCCTAGTCCGTCCAGATGACAAGGTCGTCCAGCTCAAGATCGAAGGTCATGTCCCAATCTTGGATGATAGTTGCAAGGTTTATCCCAAAGATCAATTTCAAAAGGATAAGCACCTCAAAAAGTTGTTTGCAATGCCGACCTCACGGTCGAGCTCAAAAGCCAAGCGGGACGAAGCCCAAGATGAAGAGCAGTTGGATGAGTTGGTGGAGGATGACGCTCAGCAGGAGTACATCCGAAGCCGCAAGACTGAGGATCTGTTGGCTGAAGCTGCAAGTACCCAACATCAGTACACGCATTTCCCCAAGAACCCCTTTTGCAGAACTTGCCAACGAGCAAGGATGATGGCACCTCAGGCACGAAAGAAGGGTGGTCAGAAGAGAATCGAAACTGAAGTGTTTGGTGACCACATCATCGGGGATCATGTTATCATCAAGAAAAATGTAGAAGAGGGTTTCAAGGGGGAGCAAGTTGCGTTGGTGTTGAAAGATCTGCACACCCAATATCGGTATGTCTACCCTAGCCAGTCCAAGGACTCACAAAGCTGTGTCGATGGTTTGAATCACTTCATTGGATCAAAGGATGATGTTCAAGTTGTGTACACTGACAATTCCCCAGAATTGATCAGGGCCATCAAGGATTTGGGTTACAGACACCAAACTTCCATTGAACACGTAGATTCATCAAAGTCTTTTGCTGAGCGCGAAGTTCGTCAGATGTTGGAAGGTGCCCGGAGCAACTTGTTGCAATCAGGACTTCCTCTGAAGATGTGGCCATTGGCCATGCAGCATCATGCGACCGCGATCAACGCAAGCCCCCAGCTTGACGGCAGTGATTCCCCATGGCAACTCAGGTTTGGTGAAGAGTTCCCTGCAATGCACATTCCATTTGGTGCCAAAGTGTTGTTCTGGAATAACCCCAAGAGGTTGGATAACACATCAGGTAAGCTCTCCCCAACAGCAAATGAAGGAATTTTCCTTGGGTATTACATCCAACCAGGTCATGATTGGAAGGGTGAATACTTAGTTGCCAAGTTGGAAGCCGCAGATTATCATGTCAACTGGGGTGCACTGACAATCCAAAGAACAAAGAGGTTGGAATTGCCATCCGAGGGTTTCATCTTTCCTTTGAAAGCTCTGATCGACTCGAAAGCACCCAAAGCCGATCGCCTCGAGGACCAGGTCATTCCGCAGACACCCAAAGCTGTGCCTCTTGAGTCCAGTTTGCATCCGCCACAAGATGAGTATGAATACGAGCCAGGTACGCCTCTACCAGCCGACAGCGATGTCGAGCCTGATGCACCCGAAGCGCCCGTATTTCCAGATCTCAAATTGACCCCCAAAGGTGAAATTATTCCAGATGGACATCATTGGGATGGTCACCGGATTGTACGTAACTACAAAGGTTCAAAGCGTCCGGAGGGGATTGACTCAGAACTGTGGAAGATGTTAGGACCCCAAGATAGGAAGCTGATCATC